GAAAAGTTACTTGGAAAGCGTCAGAAATAAAAGAAGCCGGGAAACACAGCTGGTGTATGTACATTATCCGTAACTACGTGTGTGTGTGTGTGTGTGTGTGTGTATTTCCAGTTTTGAAGATTGTGAGCTGAAATTTGGTAGAGCGGACGTGCGTTCTCCTTTCTTTGGGTTAAAGCAAACTCAAGTGGTATTACAGATCCCGTAAAATAATGCGATAATAACTAATCTCGGACCTAAACTTAACATTAACCCATAATCACAGAGGTAGGTAATATTACATGTGAATATTACTACAAGTACATCTCACCACACAGGCTCTTACGTACAAAAACATAATATTGCAGGCAAGTAATATTTCAAGAACGTATTTTGCATGTAAATGTAACATTACAAAAATAATATTGCTGGAAGGCTATGTTGCAAATACATAATAGTGCAGTTAGACATTAATGAAAATAATAGTGCAATTAGGTAATAAATCAAATGCAGTACAACTATTACAGGTGTGTATTATTTCAGTAAAAGTAAACCTGGACCTTCGGGGTTTTCATCAGGTTTGTTTTAACGCACATAATAATGTACACGTCCGGTGTGGCAGCCAGGAAAAACAAACTGAATTTATCTAACAAGAGAAAGGGACACGGTGCACCTGTCTCTGAGCGAAATTAAAAAAAAATCTTAAACTGTGTGATATTAGTGGGAACAAACTACTATTGGGAAATACTCAAATCAAGTCTGGCAGTACTGTACTCTGATTCTTCCTAATAAAAGATAAATGATGGTTATTGTCACCGCTATCACGCAGGAGAGGCCACAACCTAATTGGTTCTGGTCAAGTAAATTTAAAAGGCACAATTACGGCAACCGTATGCGAAACGTCGATGACAATAGGTACGACAGCCTTATGCACATGCGTGATGGGCAAACTATACAATGATAGTTACTAAGATGGCCTTTCTGACTAACCGAACCTAACCTAACCTAACCTGTCAATACTACTGCCGGACCTATATCCACTACGAATTCAAAATAATTTTGCATTAACTCCTTACCGATTATATATGAAAATTTATATATATATATATAGTATATATAGTAAAAAAATATTATAAAACGAACGTACAAAACAGTACTAACCTTCTTTGTCTGATGGGCGACTTAAGGTAAGGCGGAGGAACTCGGATTGTCTTCTTCCGGTTACTCTCGCAGGAAACCTGATTTTATTCTTCACATTAGCATCAAACTTCACGACAAAACACTAAGTCTGTTCAACCAGCAAAAATACACTTTTTTCTATAATTGGCAAAAAGTACAAAAAGCACACGTCCTGTCTGGCTGTCGTTTCCCTCCAAAAATATAACTAGTTCTAACTCCAATTCCACCTGACAGCACACCATTCCTAACATGAGTGTACTTAATCTAAAAAATATTTAGGACTTACAGAAACTTGAAATGGTGCGATTTTTTCAGAAGGGAAATTGTCTGGTGAAATTTTCTACAGGAGTTTCGTCTGTCCACTGCATCCTCAGCCATCCATCATGAATTTTGAAATATGCGCCAACCAAATTAAGACATAGTATAATGGTTCTTTGTACCTGAATTATATGAATGTGTAAGAATGCACTTAAACACTTTACACAATGTAAAATAAATAAAAAAAATAAGAAGTTAGGGTAAAGGATATTTTCCCGTAAATGTTGTACTGTAATTGAATTTTGTTTAGATCCAAGTGAAAGTAAATGGTTAAAGCAGTCTTGGTATAATTTCAATGCTATTTTGGATGTTATATTTTATAATTTAGTTAAAGTCAACCAGGTATAGATACAGTACGTATATTTTGACATATTCCGTTCAAAGAATATTCATGGTTTAACTTTTATATATCTAGTCCCTGTACAATAGAACAAATACTCATCTACGCATTAAAATTGTTACCTTTATTAAAGTCTTACCTATGAGGGATAACATAATGTATACAGCACAGGTCATAATTTTTTCAAGATGTAGCTTTTTATTTACAAGAAGCCTAATTATTATCGTTTCTCTTTTCAATTTACTCAGGTTGTGGTATCCGTCACAGTAGGCCTATGATATCGTAGGCCTATCCTGACAGGTAATGAAAGCTTAATAAGACACTAACCCTACATCCAGCAGCCTAACTCTACTTGCCCACCGCCTTGGACACCAGATAAGAGCTCAAGAGGGTTATGACGTTATTACTGCGCTCAACAACTCAAGTCTCTGAGCGCCTATCAAGGCTCGTACACACACTTGTCCATTAACAGTGAACAATTACGAGAGATGGAACTCTGCTGAAGGGGAATCTAGATGGTCATTATTGGTATAGTACTGGCGAAGAGTATTCATATGGATGTAGTGTTTATGGAGATTTGACTCCACACCGGCTCTCTCTCTCGTGTCTACAGCAGCATCCTGGACGTTATACGTGAGTTCCAAGAAACATTGTCCTGTGTACTCAGATGTAGAGAGGAATGATAAACCAACCCGGACTTGATCTATACTCTTGTCATTATATTAATGATCAACCGTTGATGTAACCGTTCGACTTAGGAACAATGATTGATTCTTCATTAAAATTTCATTCTTACGTTATCTTATTTGTTAACAAAGAAAGTGTAATATCTTCATATGCATAAACCGGTTACTTGTAGGGATCATACTCATTAAACATTTATTAACAGCTCGTACTCCACCAATTCTGGAGTTTTCTTCAAATGTCTGGACTACAGACCAGAGAAGGTGGACCTGACCGATCCTTGGATGAGAAGACCTTTCATCTAAACAACTTCTAAATAAACTCAACCTTTACTCAGGCCGATGGAGTCTTCTCTGGAGTGACATTACCGAATGCCGGGAAAAAATTAATGAGACTTGCGTTCCTCCTCTTGCCACACACTAACAAACACCCACACAAGGTTCACGAGACACAGCTGCTCTGTATCTTGTCAACCAGATCTTTTTTTCACATCAATCGTCAATATATACCATCCGCTGCACTCTGCCTTACTCATAAAAGCTCTAGTGAATCATCTGTTCTATATTCGGTTATAATACATACACTAATACTATTAACTTACTAGCTCGTAGATTCTTCTCAGCTTACAATACACCTTACCATCTATCTCATTTTCTTTATCTTTATGACATTTACGATTTAGGCTGAAGTGTTGGCTGCTCTGGAGTCCCCTTTGGTTATTTGAGTTAAGGAACACAAAGAGAACACCAGGTAAGACGGTCCCAAACAATATAAAAAATATACGTAATGCATCTAGTGTGCAGCTTATCGTCTTTCTAACTGTCTCCGGATCTCGGCTGGCACACAATTAATTGATGACATACGAGCCCCAGCCAGTATGCGATGACCGCCTGTTCGAGTGTCCTAGTCTGGGGATCCCAGGAGGCGGCATCTCTCCAGGACTCGGGGAAGGGGTGGTTTCTACCCTACATGTAGGATACAACAGCCCTAAGCACAACTATTCTGTTAATAGCACTTTACTGGATACTGGCGATAAGGAAAATATCTCGGCGTTGTGATAGATCATTCACTAAAGGCGGTGCAACAAGTGGGGGTAGCAACGTGGAAAGCAAATCGAGATCTAGGAATTATAAAGCGTACCTTTGAACATAATGATAGGAAAGTACTCCGTTAACTGTACAAATTACAAGTACGTTCCAGTCTGGATTATTGTATATAGGCTTGGGAACCCTACCTCCAGAAAGATCTAACATCCCTAGAAAAGGTGCAACACAGCCACTAAGATTATTCCGGAACTATGTCATCTCGATTATCCAAGTAGACAGAAGGCCTTAGGACTAACACCCTTCAGACAAGACACAATAGGACAGAGTCTCATTGAAACACTGAAAATTCTGAAAGGGATGGAAAACGTAAACCCGGAACATTTCATTATGTCACGCACTACCAACACCAGAGGACACAACTACAAGCTCGCCAAGTTATTATGCAGAATTATCATATGGAAATACCTTTTCACACGAAGGGTGGTAGACTTATGGAATAGTTTACCAGCCCGGGCTGTGGAATCAAGAACAGTACAGTACTGGGCCTACAAATAAAGAATAACCCTTGATAAAATTATCAAGAACTTTGGAGGTATCCTACACAGGCCACTGGCTTCCTTCCCTCGGCATGGCCACCTTTAATGGGTGGCCATTACGTAAATAAGGTGGGTAAATATACCCCATCTCACATCTTTTTCTTATCTTTACCTTTGCCTGTCTTAATTTCTCTCCTTCTACTCTTTGCTGTCAACAAGCTGATTTTACATGATTTACCTGAGGGCCATTCCAACTAGAGGTGACCTTGTCGGGGGAAGGAGGCCAATGGCCTGTGTAAGATCCCCATTGTTCTTGATAGTCTTGAAGAGGGTTATTTCAAAGCCCGATACTGTTGTCATTTCCTCAACTCCAGCTGGTAGACTGTTCCATAGGTTCCATAGGCCCAGGGGTCGATGAGCCGCGGATCCATGAATATCAAAAGGGAGTGTCCAAGAAATTGTGGATGGGGGAACATGGTGAGCACAGTGAGCCCACCCAGCTGAGTGGTTTGGAAGGGGGGGGGGGTGTAGTAAGCCCTCCAGAAGTTGTTTTGAAATCTGATCAATATCATGGACATTTTGAGGCCATTTTGAGGCCATGTGCAATTGATGTTAGGAGATATTTTGACGTCAATGGTAACTACTTTTTACTATCCGAAAACGTCCGAGTATAATACTGCATTTAAGAAAAAGTATTGAAATTGTTATGACTAAGGATGACTTCCAAGGGAGCAGTGGTATAAATTTTCACTGCTGGTAGACTCACAATAATTTAACGACCACTAGTGTACATAAAACAATAAAAAATATCCAATTAAATGAAATGATGTTATAAACGTAAATAATTCAAATCAATATCGCCAAATCAATATCGCCCAAGTTTTAAGGTTATTATAAGTTTTAAGCCAAGGGTCGCTGGCTTGTGATGTCAACAAGAGGTGAAGGCAAATGACTCAGTGAATGGAAACTTAGATTATTTCATCATCTTAAACTTCATTATGATTGAGTCATGTTCGAAAAAGCGAATGGTTATTGCTATAGCCTGTCTTATTGGGTAAGTTAAGTCATAGGTACTCAGTTAAAAGTAAATCAGGAGGTTATATTGTGAGCTTAAAAGTATGACATGTTTTGTTCACTACTTACAAATACAGTATCTTGTATATATATTTTTTTTCATGAATTTAGTCTTATTTGTTTAGTAATCGAGCCAGTTTAGTGTACTTTATGGTCAGTCTGGTGGTCGTGTGGTAAATGGCTCTTTGAATTTACTGAAGGAGTTGGAAATTACCCTTGTTCTGTCTGCCTTTGATGCCTCACCAATTTTAGATAAGATTAAATTGTTTGATTTTAGCAGAAACCAAACTAGCAGCTTGGAATACTTTGCCATTCATGTACAATCAAAAACAAAAGTCATGTCACGGTTTTGTCCGAGGATTAAATATAACTCGCGACACATTATGAGAGCCCTACCACAAGGCAGAGCACACCAAAAGTTTAGCTTATGTTTTCACCAAATTTCACAACACGACTTTTGTCTTTCATTGTGCGTACTGTACTCTTTATTGGGGAGTTGGTATCCTGTAGACATAATGTAAAATACTTTCCTTATGTCTTCTGCCATAATGTAACTCTAGATTCTACGTGATGTTTAATTATGCGACTGGTAACGAAGGAGGCTACAGTAATATTATGTGTTGAAGTGTGGGAATAACAACATCTGTAGGACTTTCACTGTTTGTTCCTTGTGTAAACTTTAAAACTGCTTGTAACAAATTGGGATGAACTAGATTTTTGATACCAACTCACTCATACTTGTATAAAAGTTTTCTAATTGTATATTAAGTACTGTACAATACTGTAGCCTATACAGTACAGCACATGTATTATTTTTATTACTTAAGGGTTTATTAATAGTAAAATACATTAATACATTTCACTCCCTAGGTTATCAATACTTGTTCTGATTGTGGAGAATGAACTCACCCCAAATGACACTCGACCTCACACCCACACTACAGCTCACCCAAATGTGACTCAGCAGGAGATGTGTTGGATGCGAGAAGACGTGGAAGAACTGGAAGACTGTCAACCTTGCACTGGTAAGTATCACAGGTATACCTCGATTTAAGATGGAGTTCATTTCTGAAATTCCTGTCATATCCCCAATACTGTAATCATTAATTGAATTGTATTTATTCCTTGGTTACAATTATTAATTGATAATACTTTTCTCAGAAAAAATGACTTCTGTAACATGTAACAAAATGAAACTAAATGCATTTTACATATTTGCATGTATAAAAATTGAAACTAAAATATACCAGGTACAGTGGCAACCATTGAATGAAAAACCGAATACACGTACACATATTTAACAGTTGCCACAGTCGACTGACTTATTGTAGTCCTAAAATTTTACTGATGTCTGTCGTCTCTTTGCCAGCCACAATGCGCCTTATCACCTCCAACTTAACTTATAAAGGTGATTTTTGGGGGGGGGTCTCTCTTCCAGTAGGTGTATTCCTACAGCCTGGTTGCTTATGTGACAGCTTTAGATATGGTAAATCACTTGGAAAATGCAAGAATTTGCTGGAGAGTTCTATCAAAGCATGTACAGCCTGTACCTGTACAGTAGCTCAATTTGAAAGATATGGTTGGCTTGTAAATAAATTTGTTACAACAGGCTGGGAACATATTATATACCCTGTACTGTATAACATTCATTTACCTAACACACACTGTGTTTTCATACGCAAAATTACGTATGATCTAAATTATCACTTTAGAGTTTTCATACGCAAATTTGCGTAGGAAATATAAAATTAAAATGAAATAATTTTATGTTTGTGTATGGACGCTAGACACGCAAAACGCACATCTGACAACATCAGCACGATCTGGCAACGATGTAGACTGCACTCCAAGGTTACCACACCAGTCTCCTTTTTGTGATTAAAGGACCCAGGATATAAAAATTTCCACACATTTTCTTGTGGCTTGTGCTGATTTCTTGTGCATCACAGTGATTTCATTCATTCAAAACCGTGTTGTGAGAGTTTTGAACCATGCCTTGTGTTTTTGGCGAGGGTGGAGGGGTGGGAAAATGTAAAAATTGCAAGGAGACTGCACCACATGGTGATAGTGTGGTGCCTCCTGATGCCTCTCCCAGTGTCCCTGGCCCTTCTAGTATAAGTGATAGTTTGTCTGGCCCTTCAACAAGCAGTCCTAGTGCTGTGACTCAATTTGTACAATTACAGTATCTTTTTTGCCCGGAAGGAAAAAATTAATAATTTGTACTCAGCCTGGGCACCGCTATCAGAATGCAAAATTTACACCACTATTATCTAGCGAAATATTAATTTTTCACAACTTTTCTTCTAAAACTATTTTTTCCTTAATATGTATGCTTTATAATGGAATAAGATTCATATTGCACTCACATGAAATAATGAAGGTATAAAGTAATGTATGAACATTTTCATTAAGCGTAAACAAAAATTTTGTGTTCTACTCGAGCTTACTGTATGTGCGTGTATCAAAATAATTATTTTATTGTGATTACTCATATAACTGTTTGTAGATCATTTATTTATAATGCTAATGCAACAAATCCCACCTTTTTATCTCAAATAGCAAGCTTGCTATGATTCATTATGTACAAGTATCTTTTGTGTGTTGCAGTCTAGTGCGGTGAGGTGAGTAACAGTCCAGATTCCGAGTGTCTCGTGGGAGAGCATCTACCCCAACCCAAGAGTGTTAAGATGAAATGAGTAGTCTCTGTACATGTTTTCCACCTCAAAAAACATTAGATATATGTATCCTGTACAGTACAGTACCAGTAATTTAAGAACATTCTGTGAAAATAGAAAAAAATATCTTCTGTAGGAATAATGGTGTCAATTATTTACCATCATAAAATAAAAAACCTTAAATAGTTACAGTATTGTAAATCAAGGTACAATATACAGTATAGCCTGTCGAGTATGTACTACACTTGTATTATAACTGGTTCAGTGGATCAGACAAATTTAGTAGCTACAGCCTCAACAAGTCTTCTACAGGCTGTACTTACCTGTTACAGGTACCTTATTTAGTCTCGGTCCAGCTGTACTGTACACTATAATACTAAAATGAACCAAAACTTCAGTAACCAATATTTAGTGGCGAGTGCTCCACCACTCTGATGGTGGACTAGATGGTCTCAATTCATTTGTCTGCAACTGTACATTTCCCTGCTGTCATATATCTTGTCATCATCTATCTGCATTTCCCCTTGCAATTTTTCCTCAGCTCATCTACATTTAATTTTATTTTTATTTAAAGTTATTGTATGTCTCACTCCTTATCAACTTTCATTTCATTTTCATTTTTGATCTACAGTGGGGTATGCTATAACGAATCTAATTGGTTCTAGAACCTTGTTCGTTGTAGCATTCGTTTGTTATAGGATTAATCCGTTCCAGGCCCCCAAATACAACCACTTAACACTGAAAAATATAATATAAAATTGTAAAAATTGTAAAAAAGTGCATAAATATGCATCTAAACCCCTGAAATAAAGAATATCATTAATACTTGTAATAAAACAACAATAAATTAGTAAAAAAAAAAATTTTTTTTTTTAAATAATGTTCTTTGTAGGAGTTTCGTTCGTGATAGCATTCTCAATTTTTTAGGTAAAACCGTTCGTTATAGGAATATTCGTAGTAGGATCCGTTCGTTATAGCATACCCCACTGTACTCAGTTATACCCAGCTTCCAATGGTGTAAAACACTGTTTTGTAAAACATGCTTTTTCTAACTGGCTTTAATCTTCATTCTTCTTCCAGAATTTGAAATCAAGAGTGCTACTCCGGCAGTGTGTGCCTCTGCAAGATACCGTCAGAAAGTGAAATGTATGAAAACTGGAGAGGTGTTCCGAAAGTAAGTATAGCAAGGAATATGTGTATACTAAAATTGTAACTGCATGACTTTTTCTTACAATATTCTTATGAAAAGCTGTTTAGCATTTATTAATTAATTTGTTGCTATTTCACAAAATTGTGTTCCACCTCAAAAAATAAAAGCAAAAATAAAGCAAGTGGTAGTTGTACATAGCCGAGTGGACAGTGTATGCACTACTGTAGGCTACGGAGTAGAAGGTACAGTTTATGTTCAGTATACTGTAGAGTATATGTACATTCCCTCCTTCATGGAGGGAGAGGAGAGTGACAGTTAGCAACATTTCCTACAGTAGATGGTACATGACAAAGGCAGGCCATCCTGTATTATCATATCATCATTTGGTCTGCCTGCATCACAAGCTCAAGATGACAGCATCTGCTGGGGAGTACAGTAGTGATATCCCCGTTCGCCAGAATAATTGGTGCAGAACTCTTCCTGTGATGAGTGATTTCCGGTTAATGAGATGATTCTCAAACCCAGAAAAATCCCACATCCCCGGAACTTTTCTGGGTTACTGGGAGAAGTTTCTTGGATTTTTTCTTTTTTTAAATTGTGCATTATTTTATCTTCAGATATTGCTCCCGGACTCCGGAAAGGAGATTGGAGAGTTTCCGTAAATTTCTCAGAATTTTCCAGAATTACTCATTGCAGTAATGTATTTCATCCTCAGAATTTGCTCTAAGACCCTGAATAAAAAATTGGACAGAGAGTTTCCTGAAGTTTTCTGAGAAGTTTCCAGAAAATGCTCCTGATTTTCAACCTTGAAATTTGTTCCCAGAACCGGAAGAAAAGAATTTGGAGAGGTTTTCCGGAATTTTCTCAGAAAATGCACCTGATTTTCAACCTTGGAAACTCATATACAGACCTGGAATTGAGGGAATTTTTCTGTTCCTGGAAAAATTCCGGAGATGAGAAAATTTGTCCCAAACCCAGAACTGCTTTGCACCAATTATTACAGTTAACGGGGAAATTACTTAGTGTATATCTCACTTCATTAAACCTGAGGATACTAAACAATTAACAATGCTCTAAATACACATAAAGATCAGTATCACAGATTAGACATTATGTATTCTCGAGGCAAACTGATAAGATATTTAACATCTTATAGGTGTGATCGCGTGGTGTGGCTAGAAGAGCGACACTTCTGGACTTTTGAGGCCGTCATGGCTACTATTGGTTTTGTTGCTGGTCTGGCAACAATGGCCAGACAAAAAATACTCGATCATCGCGTTGTACAAAGAATACAGCGACAGGTGGCTGCAGGTGTTTGATTGTTTATTATAATGTAATATAGGAGGGACATTGTATTTTGTAAATAAGATAATAAGGTACAGTATTTTTATTTACTTGAATTTTTTTTCTTCTGTATAGTGGTGTATTAAATTTTGGACAATAAAAATTTTGCTCATAGTAGTGAGTCGACTTTGTGATTGTCAGGTTTATTGTGTTCCTAAAGTTTAAAGAGCTGCATTATTCTGAATAATGAATATTAAGTTTAATCCATAAAGAATATAAAATACTGTAGTTGGAGATACAGCACAGTACAGTACTGTGCCATAGTGTAAACTATATCAAGGTAGGTTTACTTTTGAGAAAGTTAGTTGCTGATAATGTACAGTATACAGTACAGTATATGAAAAATTGGGTGATATAGTCAAACCGCTCTTGTAACTGTTAGTTGAGGTATTTATAATTTAACCAAACTGCTTTTGTAGCTGTTCAATGAAGTACTGTATGTGAGATAAAAGAAGAGTCCAACAAAGGTTATGAGGGCTCCATTGGTCAGTTAGTAGCGATCTGGACTACCAACCCATGAGACGCGAGTTCATTCCCTTTCCCAGGCAGGATTTGATGATAATACTTAACAAAATTAATTATTCAGTACCTGATTGACATTTCATTCAAGGATGACTTGGTCAATAAGTTGTTGTGTTTAATCTACATAATGATAACCCCTGTATAAGGTTAGTGCTTGACAGAACATTGTGAATTAACATAAATATTGAAAAGTAATAATGTATACAAGAAGATTACCAAGTATTTCCTTAAGATAAAGTTGTTGTAACAGGTGTCTGGATGTTGAAGAGATTACATTGCTTTGGCAACTGACAGAAAAATGAGGCCAAAGTATTTGGGTAAACAAATGAGGTAAGATTTAATGTCTTTTCATTAATATTTCATATCTCTGATACACTCTTTCACTGAGGTCTTTAAAAGAGCTTTATGTTTACTTCTGTGTTATTGAATTAACCAACTGTTGAGTCAATGGTGGCTTTTAATTACAGTAATACCCCGCTTTACGCGGTTTCAATTTCCGCGATTTCGCATTTACGCGGTACCTTGCCAGAACCGGACTTTCACTTTACACGGTGCATCTACTCATATACGCGGGAAGCGGCATGGGCAGGATGCGCACAAAGTCGCCCAGTCATCAAAACATTACCGAGTTCTTCACCCGCCACCCACCACAGCCGGCCCAAGTCAGTGATAGTGATAGTGAGGATATGGACTTATATGGACTTTGAGGGGTTTGACAAAGAGGCCCTGCAAGCCTATGTGGTGGATAGTGATACAATTGATACAAGTGATACAGGTGAGGGTCAATAATCTGCCCTCTGCCTCGGAACCAACCCCCCCATCCCTGTGTGCCCAGCCATCTTTTCTACTAATGTAAGTGTTAAAAAACTAATATTATTGATATTTCTCTTAATTTTTAATTGTGTGTGCATACCATCATAAAATTAAGATGTAATTTTTACTACAACGTAAGTATTGTGTCTGAAAAAGTGGAGTTTGGGGGTCGGGCCAGTCTCTATTGGAATTAATCCCATATGTTCTGTTGTTCACTTAACGCGGTACCCCATGGGTTCAATTGACCGCGCAAATCGGGGTACTACTGTAGTTGCCTACTTGCCAGTATTGATGTTATAGAAGAGCCTTCTTGTGGGGAGGTGGGACCTAAATACTGTATGGTGTGTGCACTGTTTTTGATATACTGTACTGTACTGTACACGTATTCAAGGAATGTAATGATTTTTTTTTTTTAAACTTCTGTATTGATTTGTTAAGTGTTTATAGAAATGTCTAATAACATTTAGTGATGATTTGTTATGCATTGACCAAATTTATTGATATACCCTACCTATATTGTATTTTACAGTTCAAATAGGTTTTTGAAAAGGAATAAATTCTTTTGATAAGATTATGCTTAGTTATGAACTGTTATCATTGCTAACTTTTATAAAGTAGGGAATCTTCACTATCCAAAAGGGATGCATTAACAAAATTTGCACGTAAAGTGAAAATTTCTATAGTGAAAGTAATTGTGTCATAGACATAATGTTATAAGTAAGACTGTGTTCCTGGGAGTTGATTTCTAGACACCTTACTTAACCCAAACTAACAAAGCTAAATACAAAAGACATACAATATTGACTTAAGAAATAAAAAAAAAGAATGTCACTAAATGTCTAGTTTTGAATAGATTGCATTCCAAAATTTTGTTTGTAATTCATTAGGTTGGAACTCTGGATTTCTCAGACACAGTGTAATGAATGGTGGTTAGGTTCTCAAGCCAACCCACAAAAGTATTTAACAAATAGTTAAGCTGAAATTCTGCATACAGTATTTGCAATGAATAATACATGTTCATCATTACCATTTTATGGCCGTTTTTCAAGCTTGTGTGAGTTAGCCAAGATTACCTGATGGCAGTTCTCCATGCTGCATGGTCACCAGTTACTGTCAGTTACTCGTGCAATGCCCTGAGCACACAAGCAAGACTCTCCTCAACTCCCATCTTTCTCAGTGTCCACTGCAGTATCTCATGTGGTACCCTGTCAAAACCTTTTCTAAGTCTACAAATACAAAGTATAGTTGCCGGCAATAAATATTGCCTCTGTAGTCTCCTATTGTCTCTGTAGTCCCCCTGCCTTGTATGAACCCAAACTGCACTTCATTAATGTTTGCTCTCTCCCTTATTAATTTCTCAATTACACTTTCCACAAATTTCATAACCTGATCTCATAGCTTCAGGTCTCTGTAGTTCCCACTTAGCCAGTCTGCTGGAACAATACGTACTGAACCATCAAAATTGCATTAATCAACTTGTTTACTGTTATATCAACATTGTCTGATGCTTTGAACATTTATGCAACTAATCCAGAGTTACTAGCAGCTTTTCCTTCCTTCACTTACTTTTCCCAACCAACCTTCATTTTTTCATTATCAACAACCACATTACTGTGCTCATTTGTCATAAACGACTTACCAACTAGGTCTTTGTTTCTACCCACTGTTTTGCCTTGAAATTCTGTAATCCTCACCTCTAGCATCCACACTATTCAGCATATCTGCAAGTGCATCCTGTTCATGCTTCTTGGACTTATAAACTTCTCTTCTGGTGCTGTGCTTGGCCTTCATGTAATCTTCCTTGTCACCACCCATCGTCTTTATCACTCACTTCACTACATCATTCCACCACCATGTTACTACATGATTGGCTGGGCCCTTCGTCCAGCCACTCTTAACAGAACATCCTATATTGTGGCCCTACATCTTTCTTACATTACCCCTCAGACTGTCGTTGGCTGATTACACTTTTCTCAACTCGGCATAAAATACTTCCTTCATATTCTGTTCTTTCAATTTCTACACATTCTTTCTTGGAACACCTTCCTTACCCTGCAACTTATAAGCAACCCATCACACTCAAGCACTCTGAGCTGCAAGGCATAGTTTTCCACTGCTGTCACCTCTACATCCCAAAGAAACTTTCTGTCAGTTTTTCTGACAAGTATGAAGTCAATTTGGGTTTTTGAGCCACCTAACTTATGTGTGATCATTACCCTTTTATGGTCCTCAGTTTCACCCTAAGGTTTAAACAGACTGTTTCTAACTAAATGTCCCATAGTATACTGGTATGTGGATTCTGGTACTTATAACAAGAATCTATACAGTCCCTCTAGTCTTTATGAAGTAACTGCTAATGGCTACTCATTTACACAGCCTGTTTTCAAATGTGTTGCACACAATCAATTTAATGCATCCCCAAACACAAGTAATCTTTTTTCTTCAATATTCCTTGTTTCAAAGCATTGTCCACCATGCAAACCTTTGCAACCTTATGTATGTTCACCAATGGTTGTTTAGATCACCATCTCATCTTGTACCTGTCTCCACTAGTGAAATTGACCAAGATAATTCTGTGAAAATTTTTCAAAAATTCAAGAATTTTGTATACATATGCAAAAATATGCATAACAGGTGTGTGTGTGTGTGTGTGTGTGTGTATATTGTAATACTGCCTGTATGTTTGAATTACATTTCATGGTACAGTATTTGATATTTCCTCTTCCCTCCTTTACTGTTTCCACCTTCAAATGCAAGAATCAATGGGAATATGATGAAAAACTTAGTGTAGCCAATTTTGTTGTACAGTATTGTAATATTGGTATTAATGTGATAATTTATTGATTGCCTTGCTTTAATTACTGAATAGTTTTGTTCTTTTTTTATCCTGAGAATCAGTTTGGACATAGTGAGGGCATTATGCTTGTCCAAATTTTACTTCATGTTGCTAGGGTTAAATAACAAATAATTGAGATAAATATCTTACTTCTCAGGCAGGCAGCATGTCACAAAATTATTGAATATTTGTGTCATGTTATCCATTACCACTCCAAGTACCAGGCCCATAAAATTTTCAGAGTCACACCGTAAGTTTTCCCAAACTATAGAGAGATTTAATGTTGCATTTAGGTGACTGAATTTAGATAGGACACAAAGATGTTAACCAAATTGGTGTAAATATTGCATTAAGACTGTGCCATAATTAGCTACTTTCTTGTGCTCCTTAGTTATGGAGTGAAATTTTAGTGTACATCTTTGAGAATCCAAGTCAAGACATAACAATCGATAAGACACACCTCAAGTGAGTGACAAGTGCTTGATGTGTCACAACAACATTTATATTTAGGCAGTCAATCCATTTTAGCTCAGCCCTGAGCATTGAAAGTGTTCCTATGTATGCATTTCAGTTCTCTATTAACTGGAAGAGTGAGCATGTTGTGATGATGGTTTGCATTGCCATTCTTGTCCTAATGGAATATTCTTTAGTTTCATAACTAAGATCTAGTTTGTTTAACATTTACAGTAAGAAAATTTAAACCTTTCCATGGCAATTGAACGTGGTAAGCTCAGCTCTAACATTGTTACTGAATTAACACTAGCAAGGTGCACGATGTTCTTTCATTGAATGACTGATTTGTAGTGGAATAGTCAGCGGCAAATTTATATTGTTATTTTGTATTGAACTTATATTGCCTTTGAGCTCCTTTCTTGACACTAATCTCTTAGTTCATTGTCTCTACTTTATTACAAACCAGATACTCTTTTTACATTACAATTGAGTGTAACTACTATTAATTGA